CTAGAGTTGGCTTAGGCAAGACATTGGCTAGGGTGGCTCTATGCCGAACTAGCCTTGGATCATAACTCATGACTAGTAGTAAGTAATAATTGATTGAGGATGCAAGGGAAGGTGGGCAGGAGGTCTTCCCTAGCAGGAATTGGCCCTGCGACGAACTGGTGCGGGTTACAGGGTTTGCTATTTCAGGCATATCTTCCTGATTGGGCAACTTTTAGCTGGGAAGGGGCCAAAAATTCCTGCTGCGGTTGGGTCCCCTTTCCGCTGCAATGGTACTGAATATCCTTCCTGAAGGCTTTCCACGCACCAAGCCACCGCCATGCAATGGGGTCCAGGCCTGAGATACCACTTTCGAGAATATGCAGAGTCTCTGTATAGTCACTTGATTCATAGCAAAGTGTTGGTATAGCCCAGCCCCTTGTGGCAAAACTGTGTGTCTACTGGTTGAAACTGGTCGGGGGCTGTCATACCCACCGAACATACAATTATTGTGTATGGAGCAGATCTTGAGTATCTCCTGAACTTAATCTACTTGACTTTGTCTATTTGACTTTGTCTATTTTTTTTTTTGCAGTATTGCTTCCATGATATTAGGAGCATTAGCCGCAATGGCTCAAAACAAAGTCAAAAAACTTTTAGCTTATAGTTCTACTGGCCATGTAGGTTACCTTTTAATTAGTTTTTCATGTGGAATTATGGAAGGTATACAGTCTTTACTAATAGGTGTTTTGAATGTTTTAATTTATGTAATAATGACCATCAATGTATTTGGAATAGTTTTAGCTTTACGCCAAAATCGTTTAAAATATATATAGCGGATTTAGCCGCGTTAGCGTGGACGAATCCTATTTTAGCTATTACAATGTCTATTACTATGTTTTCATTATCAGGAATACCTCCATTAGCAGGATTTTGCAGCAAATTTTCTCTCTCTTTTGCTGCTTTAGGTTGCGGAGCTTATTTATTAGCCTTGATAGGACCCACCAGATATACAATTATTGTGTACAAAGCATATCTTGAGTATCCCCTGGACTTAGTCTACTTGACTTTGTCTATTTGACTGTCTATTTGGCTTTGTCTATCTATTTGACTGTCTATTGGCTTTGTCTATCTATTTGGCTGTCTATTTGACTGTCTATTTGGCTTTGTCTATTTGACTGTCTATTTGGCTTTGTCTATTTGACTGTCTATTTGGCTTTGTTTACCTGTGATACTTCTATGACTTAGTCTATTTGGCTTTGTCTATTTGACTTTGTTTACCTGTGTTTTTTTTTTTTTTTTTTTTTTTTTTTTTTTCCCCTTTCAAAACAGACTACCCCCCTTTTTTTAAGAACAGATTGCAACGTTTTTTGAAAAATTTGAGAAATTCTATGAATTTTTTTGGAACTAGACTCCTAAGGTAATTCCTAGCCCTCCTTTCCCCGGGACATACTTACTCAGGGACAGTACCAACCATACCAACATCACCCATAGCTGATCTCTTCTCGCCACTACGCAGCCCCCCCGCCGATTCGCCACTGGCTTGCCTTCCACCCTCGGCAAACCCCAGATCTCTCTACAAGGCCTCATACTCCTGCAAATTGCAGGTCACAGGGCGACGCCCCAGCTCCGGCCAGCGTCGTTCTGGCATCGGCAAAACAGGGGCACAGAACAAAAAAGCTATTCGGATGTCAGTCTCGTTGTGACTGTCTCTGAACTCCGACACCCCAGTTACAGGTAAGGGCTAAGTGCTACCAAGGATCCAGAACCAAAGAACCTTAGTATGGACTGCACAACCAAACAACCACCCACTCTCCCCGCAACTATCGGAGAAAACTGCAGGTCTCGTGTTCAGTCCTCAACCGACACACGGCTGGTCTCATACCCTCCCATGCTAGAGTTACAGGACCCCACCAAGCCCCAGTACCGACCAACCTAGCGAAGATGGTGAGGAGTGCCTTCCTCCCTCGGCAACTCCCCATAGCCGCACGCCCCAACCGGTGACAGGGATACACCCCAGCTACGGCCACGTCGAAAGTGCTGGTTCTATCTTCCTCCCTCGACAGAACTCCCCAAGCCTCATGCTCCTCTCCGGGTCACAGAGCAAAACCACCCCAGCACCGGCCTGCGTCGTCCCAGCCCCTTCTTTCTGACCTACTCACAAAACCCACAGTCCCCCCTCGGTCGCCCCCCCTCGGTCGCCCCCCCTCCCCCCTCTTACCCCGCAGCCTTCTTGGAGCAAGGACTTGGATTTTCTCCATAGGGAGTAAAACCAAGCCCCACCCCTCATACGAACAAAAACACCCTAAAGAAGGGAACTGTCTATTTGGCTTTGTCTATTTGACTTTGTTTACCTGTGAATCTGTGATTATTTGTGTGACTCCGCAATTGATACTCACTAAATAATCAATCCCCCCAATACCCACCAGACATACAATTATTATGTACGGAGCATATCTTGAGTATCTCCTGGACTTAGTCTACTTGACTTTGTCTATTTGACTGTCTATTTGACTTTGTTTACCTCTGATTACTTGTGTGACTTAGTCTACTTGCCTTTGTCTATTTGACTCACTAAAAAATTAATCCCACCAATCTACGCACTATCTATATAAATAACTCTTCCAGATTAACAAATGTCCTTTGTATAAACAACATCTGCCGGATCTGCTGTCCCTGGTGATAAGAGCACACACCGACAGCATGCTGGTGGATGGGTCCTCTCTATTGGTGAGGATCCAAAACTCAACGAGTGCGAAGCTCAAATGCTATAGACCTTTCACCTCTTACTGCTCAGCGTGAGTGAAAGCATATATGCTCTCGTTCTAGTAATTATAGTCTACGATTACAAGGAATCTAAGCACCTTCGCTACTAGGAACAACGCCTATACGTATTCCTGCCTGATTTATCTCTCTCAGAACCATAAATTTTATAATAATAAAAAAATTATAAATTATAATAATAAAAAAACTTTTTCGCAGGTTCGAAATCCGGAAAAATGTGCCAAGCTTCAGTACCTTCTTTTTCGCTTTCAACCTACGAATGTAGCCTAAAACATAGACAAAATTCATCACACGTTTTACTATCCAAATATTAGGGGCGCTTTGCACCGACGGTAGCCTTATGTACTTCACTCAGTAGGACCCAGGTGATGCAGTCGATTGTGTCATGATGCATGACGCCTTTTGTCGCTTTACTGGGGTCTTCATCTCCAGGGTCGTGAACGCGAACCACGTGGCATCCATTGGGGCTCGGCCTTCGGGACCAAGATGGCTGGTGGCTCCAGGCAAAGGATAAAGAAAAGTGCCTGCACAACTTTGTTTTTTGTTGGCACAGAACAAAAATCTCCATTGGGGTTTTAGTTCAGAGGTACTGGTGATAGGACTATTTCACCGTTCATTTAGACGTAATTGCAACTCTCTCTCTCTCTCTCTCTCTCTCTCTCTCACACACACACACACACACATTGAAGTCTCAAACAATCAGCATGACGGTGTGACTCATGTTGAGGTGCGGATGAGGGGAAGGTGATGGCACCATGGTACAAAAACTTGTGTCATCTTCTTCTTAAAACTTTATCCATTGTGTTACTTTCTCCAATCCCCACGACGAACCCAATGGACTCGACAATGCAACAGCAATGGAGACTTCCTAAGACTTGCTGCAACATTCATCATTGCAAGAGTAGAAAGTTAGAAACCCTCTATTCATACGTTGCGACCTGTATACACCCTCGTACAAGTACGGATTCGTACTCCTGTACTCGTACGGTAGGGTCCTACAAGTTTTTTTTTTTTTTTTTTAAGCCTGTATTGTTTCTATTTATTTTCTCAAATTTTAATAAAAATCTGCAGATGATGCTCAGCCAAATGTTGCTTCTATTGTGCTGTTGCATAACTTTTTTTTTTCCGGACGTTTTTTATGATTGTTTTTTTTTTTTTTTTTTTTTTTTTTTTCTGTACAGAGGTGTACAAAACGTACGAGATGACGTACAGGTTCCCGTACAGGTCCCATACAGATATTACCTGTACGTTTCATACGGAGAGGCCCTGTACGTGTAGGTTAGGTAATGGAGCGCACCATGATCAGCAATTTATGCATACATTCCCCCCCCCCCCTTCTTCTCTCCCCTCCCCCAATCAAATATATACCTGTTTAAACTGCCTCATATGCATGATTTGCAGAACACAAGTGTTTCATGCAATGCAACCACAATGACGTATTTGACAGTTCACAACTGGTGCAGTAGGGTTTGGGGGGTGGGGGTGTGGCGTGGCGCAGGGGTGGTTGTGGGGTTGGGGAAGCGCGTGCATGGTGTCGGGGTTTGTGAATAACGAAAGGATGGTCGCTGACAAACATATTTTTTTTTTTTTTTTTTTTTAACATCAGTAGGGGTGCCCTTACTGCAGGCAGGGATAAGAGCCCATGCCTGAAGTAGGGCCCCGGGGTTTGACGACTGCGATCTTATGAGTGACGAGCGAAATGCAGATCTCTACCTTTGGCTTCAACACACAACCGTGTCGTCCTTGCAGAGGGGCCATTTTGCTAATTGCCCTTCTGTGTATCACTCCGATTTTGAGATATGTCCCCGAAGGACTACAACCACCTTTTGTCGCTTTTTCTTTTTGGCAAACAAAATCTTAAATTTTCACTTTAGAAAAGGCTTAAACAATATCATGAATTGATACCATCTTCAAAATATGAAGTGTCACTAACCATTAAAAAAAAAAAAAAAAAAAAAAAACTCTGTGGAGGGAATTAAATCAAATCCTCCTCCCTTTTCCTCTCATCGCCTCTGAAATATATCGATCACCTGAAAACCCGGTATACTATAGAATAGTATAGATCTCATTCTACCTGAAAAGAAATGGAAAAAGACAAAAAGAAAAACATGTATAGAATCTATCTATGATATTCTATCTACTCTTAAACTTGCTGTGAATGTGATCAAGCTATAAATACTAAGGGCCTTGTCACACAAGTTCTATCTTAAATGTATCTGACCGCATATACTACCAAAGCTGGATGTATTTGGCCGCAATTACGTCCACAAAAATAACGAGTACAAAGTCCGAGTGTGGTATATTGCCCACCAGCTTGAATGTGGTGAAGACATGTATCTGGTCCCGAATTGCTGATAGATTCGGACACTCCACCAGGCTATCCAGTACCATACACCAGATATGCACCTGCTGCTGCGCAAACGACAGACAGTCCATGGAGTCTCGTGGACCAGTGCTAAATTCTTGCCGCCTCTGAGTTATCCTGCATCTTGCAGATAATATATGGTTTCTCTGCCAGTGCATACTGAATGTATCTGGACCTGTTACAGGTTCAATACATTCTAACTGTTTGATCAGTCCAATTGCATGTAGTCTAGGTGCCAGTCCAGGTACCTGTCCAATGTTGAGTATACCCGCACCTCCTGCTGCATAAACAACAATGCGTGGACCGGTGCTAAATTCCTGCCGCCTCGTGTTTCTCCCTCACCTACCAGATGGTTTCTCTGCTAAGCCCGGGTGGATACACAGCATACGAAGTGTATGTGGACCTGTCATTCGAAATGTTCATTCAGTCCAAATGCATGTGCTCTACGTTCCCGTCCAGATACCTGTCAAGTGTTGAGTAGTGGACTGAGGCCAAATTGATCAGCCGGCATGCCCCAGAATGCACTTCTTCATGTACAGACAAGATTTTGGCGGGACCTCTTCAACATTCCTGCCTCCAAGATCTGATTTTGTCCTCGCTCGCAGCCTAAAAAATGTTGCTTGGCAAAGCCGATTCAACTAACCACAGCATCTCAGAGCGAGAGCGAGCGAGAGAGAGAGAGAGAGAGAGAGAGAGAGAGAGAGAGACGTCTCTCAGAACATAACTGCTAATTCTTATACTCACAGAGTCCAAAGCGAAGCAGCCCAAACTTGCCCCAAAGCTTACCCTCCATGCATGGAACACATCGGTTCCGTCTCCACTCGTTCTCTACATCTGCAACACCCCATGTGACCACGGCAAAGTCCACAACAATTCGATTCGTGACTTGCACAGTCGCGGTCGCAAGAGAAGGGCGTGCACATCAAGCTCACAGCTTCAACTTTCCAAGAGAGAGGGAGTCTCTGAGTAACTGGTAATTCTTGCAGTCACTCCGTTCAAAGCTAGGCAGCGGCACAGCAGCGACAGCTGAACGCTCGACTTCCACACAGGGAAACATGCCGTGTCGGTCTCGTTCGTGACATTCGCAACACCCCATGTGACCACGGCAAAGTCGATAACAACTCGATCATGACTTGCACAGTCGCCCTCGCAAGAAGGGCTTGAACATGATCACGCTAACAACGTTGGGAGAGAGAGAGAGGAAGAGAGAGAGAGGGAGAGGGAGTCCGTTGGAACATAACCGCTAATTCATGCACTCACCGAGTTCACAGCCAAGCAGCCGAACACTTGAGACTTCCACACAGGGAACACGTCGTGTCCGTCTCGTTGTCGACATCCGCACACAACACCCCATGCGACCACGGCAAAGTCGATAACAATTTGATCCGTGACTTGCACAGCCGCCCTCACAAGAAGGGCTTGACTATCGCAAGAACCTACGAGGCATGCTCTCTGTTCTCAACATTTTTTAGCGCCCGTAGTCCGCGCAGTCCATCCGAAATGTTCGATCAGTCCAAATGCATCTGGTCTAGGCCACAGTTCAGATACCCGGCGAAGCAGGTGGTATCTGGTAGATGCAAAAGCCTGTGAGATGTCAGCGCAGCTTTTCCGACACATCTTTTGACACCTGCTTCTCCCTCATCTCATGGCCCCAGTCCTCCTAAGCTCACTCAGATATGATCCTCGCTCTTAAGTTCCCCTCCCTTAACTCTGTTCCTCGACATCAGGCAGTCTCATCCCCACAGTCCATACGTACTCCCCACAGTCCATACATACCTACTCATCGATGCTCTAACTTGCGTTCAAACTGTTTGGATTTTTTTGGGTGGCCTCGTTACGAAGACCCCCCTTTACTCTTGACCTAGTGAGATCTACCTCCTGTTCATCTCCAGTCTAGGCCTCGTTACGAAGGACGCTCTTTACTCACAGCCTCGCAAGATGGACGTCCTTGTCATTTTCAGTTTATGCACTCCTGCTGCGGCCCCCCTCGCCAGGGGGTCTTGGGCCTCTCCAACTGTCCATGTGTCAATTTTCGAACGTATCTGATGACGACGAAGGAAGAGCTTAACCTGACTGAAGGCAAAGCTCCCGTTCATCTCCAGTCTAGGCCTCGTTACGAAGGACGCTCTTTACTCACAGCCTCGCAAGATGGACATCCTTGTCATTTTCAGTTTATCCACTCCTGCTGCTGCCCCCCTGTCCATGTGTCAGTTTTCGAACGTATCTGATGACGACGAAGGAATAGCTTGACCTGACTGAAAAGGCAAAAAAGCAGGATCATGCACATCCGGGGAGTCTGGCGCCTACTCGCACATTTATTGCTCGCTGAAGCGGCTGAACCTACCGGTAGTATCGATATGTATATACAACAACATTCACAATCCTCCGTTGCTGATGCCGATGTTCCTCGTCATATCCTCACGTCAAATCTTTAGAAATTTAAACCTGCAAAAGCGCCGATTTGCTACCTATGATTGATATTCCAGGCGACGAGTTCCAGTCCAGAAAACTGGTTCATAACCTCAGATTCATGAACCTCACCCCCCAAAAACTGGGTTATGGAACCTCTAGACTTAGAATATATGTATATAATATATGGTCAAACGTATACTAGTCAGAAAAAAAGGACTTTATGAGGTCGCGCGTTCAAGCCCAGAACCTACTCGTGTGACCAGGCTGAGGGGATGCTTGCTGTCGCCAATGCAATAATAGTTAAGGTCAGCAAAAACCTTAGTCAACAAAAAAAAAAAAAAAAAAAAAGGTGAATAGCAAAATAAATTAAATAGTTAGTTAGACAGAGACAAGTTCAGACAAGCTTACAGAATGGATAGTATTTTAATGAAGCCGTCATGGAAACACAGGCAAAAGGAAGCTTGACTGCAAGACTGACTCGTCGAGCAGGGACGAAAGTCGGTCGACCTTAGTACACACACACACACATGAAGAAGGTACTGATAATAGATATCAATTGGTAGTCAGTTTATAAAATGGTCATTTTAGGAAATAAGCAGATCCACTCAGTGAAGACCAAGAGGTAAGAACTTAAGAAGAAATGAAGGAAAATAAGAATTATTATATACTCCAAAGTTAATAAATGTCCATCCAAAATGACACAAACACACACACACACACACACACACACACACACACACACACACACACACACACACAAACAAACAAACAAACAAACAAACAAAAAAAAAAAAAAACAGCTAAAAGTTGGTTAGGTGAAAGTAAGGGGATAAATGACCAAGAGGTAAGATGACCCTTGGGTGAATTCGTTTGATTGTGGTTGGGGAGCACTCCATGCCTCTCCGTTGCAAAACCTCCCACGGCACATATGCTGGAAACAAGAAGGGTGGAATCAGTGAATCTAGCCTAGAGTCAGCAACATCTCGAGCAGGGGTGTCAGAAGATAACGGTGGGGACGGAAAACAATTCAAATTAGTAGTGTAATTGTTAGCTGACGTCAGAGCAGACACGTCTTGAAAGTGTGCGTGCGTGCACGCAAGCGAGAGAGAGAGAGAGAGAGAGAGAGAGAGAGAGAGAGAGAGAGAGAGGGGCATGGTAAAAAAGGCAGAGAGAAACTTTGGAGGAGCGGGTCTCGAGCAGATGCAGAAGAACAGCACTGGCACACCTCACAATTTCTCCCTCAAGAGTAGGTGGACTTGCTGTCCACAGCAATCGTGGAGCAAGCTACATAGCATTCAGACCGAGCTAGTGAGTTAATATCCCTGAAATTGCGCAGATGAAAGAAGTGTCTTATTACAACTAGCATACCGATAAATAGAGCAGGATTGAGCATGTATTAATGAGGGGGGGAAGGAAATTTCCCTCCTAAGCTCTTCAACAATAGCAAGAAGCGGTACCAAGTAGCGAGCACGTACTTGACAGGACATTCATCTGCCATTTGGACGTGTGAGTTCTGTCGCTGCTTCTGTTGCTCACCATAGGGTGCAAAGAAAACAAACACCAGAACAAGCACAATACATCCAAATGGTCATAGACTGATAACTTCTTATCTCAGCCGGAATGTGAATCACATTCAGGCTGCCGCTGATGGAGGATGTCTGTGCACTTGTGTGTGTGTGTGTGTGTGTGTGTGTGTGTGTGTTGTCTGTGTGTGTGTGTGTGTGCGTGTGTGTGTGTGTGTGTGTGTGTGTGTGTGTG